GTTAAGGGTCGGGCGCTGGGGGGGGGCGTCGGACGGGCTGTGGGCCGCGGGGGGGGGGGGGGGGGGGGGGGAGGGGTGCGCTCACTTTTCCTTTTTCCCCCCCCCCCCCCCCCCCCCCCCGTGACTTCCCTGACTTCCCCATACCATGGCAAGTTCCTCTTTCCTGGAAATTCAAATACATTGACTCTAAGACAATTTTCCTGGAAATTCAAATCAACAGTTTTCCAAATAGCCACTGTCAAGGAATTTGGATATCAAATGCTAAGATTTATTTCAAGATCTATGCACTTAGACTGTAAGAGAAATTCATGTTAGCTTACAAGTGACTATCTATATTTTTTTTTTGGGTTGGGTTGGGTTCGGCAAGGAAATTCATTTTGCCTTTTGAACGCACTAGTGTATTTGTGGCCGTACACGATACTGCCCACGCAATGGTAAATTCCGATTAGGAATGCAACGGCGAGGATCATTCACCGATTAATCGTCACTGTTTCACCGGTCCAAACCGATAACCGTAGGTACGGTTACCGTAGGTACGGTTACCGTAGGTACGGTTACCGTAGTTGGACCGGTAACCGTACCTACGGTTATCATCACCGTTGCATCCCTAATTCCGATTACCAGGAAATTGAAATAAAATTCCAATAAGAAAAGTTTCCTGGAAATATAATCGAATGCTGTTAAAAGTAATCACATACTAGTTGTGTTATTGTAAACAGAATTGAGGTTGAGGTTCCAAATTAGTAGCCGGTTGGGTTGTGAAATTCAGTTGTACTTGTAAATATATATGTATATCCACCGGGAGTGGATTAGATTGGGTGAGAAAACTTATGTTATTATGCACTGTTTTCAAAAGCTTCATTAGGGTATGAGTGGGGTATGGGCATTTGATGGCCGATATGATTTACAAAATAATCCGGAACAATCGAAAACGTAACCGGGGACTACTAGGGACTATAATTATGTTTATCCTTTTTCGTATTCATAAGATACCAGGCGCCAACAGGGATCACACAACAGTACAACGGGCCAGCAGCGACTAACAATATCTAGCAGGTACCGCATAACACAAGAGGTGTTTAAATCAGGTTCTGCGAAAGAACACTCAGACACCACATCTCTTAGTGTGGGTGCCACGGAAGAATTTAGACATTACATGTCTTAGTGTGGGTGCCACACAAAGACTCTTGCGGATGTTGGTGTAGATGTATGGGTCGGAGTGTGGGTGTATGTATGAGATGTGTGCGTGGATGAAGTTGAGACTGTTGCTGTGATGTGGCTTGTGCATCTGGGTGCGATGATGGGTTCCAGTTTACATGGATGCGTTGTGCTCAGTACGTCTAGATTTTGTTTAATAGGTGTTGGTTGCGTCGTGGATGACCGCATGTCAAGCACCAAGTCCTTGCAGAAGCTAGCAGGCAAGTTATGGGTGTCAGCTAAAACTGAATTCTGAACTTAAGTTTACCCTAGGGCAACCTCAATAAATGTACATATTATCTATAGTTACTTGTAAGCCAAAACGAATTTCCCACCCGACCCCACCCAATTTAACCGAACCCAACCTAAAAAAACATAGATGGTCACTTCTAAGTTAAAATGAGTTTCTCTTACAGTCTAAGTGCATAGATCTTGAAATAAATCTTAGCATTTGATATCCAAATTCCTTGACAGTGGCTATTTGGAAAACTGTTGATTTGAATTTCCAGGAAAATTGTCTTAGAGTCAATGTATTTGAATTTCCAGGAAAGAGGAACTTGCCATGGTATGGGGAAGTCAGGGNTTTCTGGTGGCGGTGCTGTGGGTGTTTCAGGTGGTGGTCTTGCAATAGCTTCTGAAATAGATGTTTCATTCTCAATTTTCCTCATTTTTACTGGACAAGTTACTACATCAAAAGGAGTTGAATTGGAGTTGACAAAATGCATCAACTCCAGCTCCAACCCAACTCCGCTCCGAATGAACTTAACTCCACTCCAACTCCACCTATAAATTAATAAAGTCAACTCCAACTCCACTCCAACTCCACTCCAACTCTACTTCGAGTGAACTTAACTCTGCTCCAACTCTACTTATAGATTAATAAATTTAACTCCAACTCCACTCCAACTCTAGTGAAAAAAAGTGGCAACTCCGAGTTGGAGTTGCCCATCTCTGACCGAAATCTTTTTCGAGTTTTTATTAGAACACCATGTAGTATATCTAGGCAAAAAGAAATTATTGAAATCGGAAGGGGGTAACTGAAGAATTTTTATCATGAGCAAAATTAAGATGATTATTCAGTTCTAAAATTGATTGTTTTTCAATGAAATAATTAAAGAATACTTAATTAAAAAGTCGCTTTGATGATTTCTTTACACATATAGGAAAAATACGATTTGAAACGGCTCATGTAGAAAATTTCTTATCAACTAATTCAATGACCAGAAAACTCTATTGAATTGCTACCAACCATTTTCAAAACATTAAAATATTAGCTAGAGGTGTTCCAACTAAGACGATCAAGGTGACCTCAATTCGGAAATTTGCATTTTTTTCTGAATGAAACTGAACAATTGTCTTCGGTTTTTTGCTCATCAATTCTCTCACAACAAAGGCTTGCTCTGCGAGTATCGTGAACCATATCTTATCAGTAGACACTTTCCGACCCTAATCTTTGAGACCTCGGTGCATCTCTAATAATAACTCAAATTCAATGATAATTCATTCCAAAAACTGTGACAATTTTCATATTTCGAAAGAGTTTCTTTTCTATATTAAAGATTTCAAAATCACATTTTCCTTTATTTATTAAAAAAAATGGGTTCATTAATAACTGAACACATTTGAACAAATAAAAGCCTGGAAATGCAGCCTTCCATCTCCCTAGAATACTATTAACATAAAAAAGGCATGACT